ATGGAGACGTGACCCTTGTGGCGAGCTCAGTTCACCGTTTCCCTTTGATCAGCACCTGAACGGTCAGCGGTTCCCTGCATCCCTGTTTGTGGTTCCTCAGGACAGAGATGGGGCTGCAGAAGCCATAACAATTACACAAAGCAGAAGGGTAACCTCAGGGAGCAGAGACAGCAAAGGCCATCAGAGCAACGCCTGCGCTCCCTACCACACCATCCCTCCGACATCCTTGTTTTTCCAGCACCAGGGACTCTATCAGCTGATCACTAACTGCTGCATTCTGTGTATTTTTGTGCCTTTTAATTTTTGTACTGTATGTGTAAACATAACCACTCCTCCATTGGAGACTTGGGCAACATGGGGAACTCGGGGCTAAGACAAAGCAGCTGCTTCCCAAGTAGCTGGGGCATGGTGAAAGCACTTTATCCCCTAATGGAGACAGCTGTTATGGAGCATTTTCCACGTTAGACAGTGTTGGAAGGGCTGTTCCCCCTTCCCCAGGTTCCCTGACCTGCGTGCACAGTGAGCTGGAGCTGGGTAATATCACGACAAAAGGGGTCAGCTCCTGCTGACACCCTCCGTGAGCAGGCTTGAGCCACACACAGGGCAAAATACAAGGTAGCACCTTCCCCTATCTGCCCCATGTCCTCCAGCATCTCCCTGCGATCATCCTTGAAAACAAGGTCAGTGCTACTGAGGTGTCTTCCTGAAGCAGCTTGTTCTGCTCGCTTCAGGGCCAGCCAGCCATGGCTGAGACCTGAGAGCAGCAAAGACAGTGCAGCTCTGCTTCATGTCCAGTCTTTTTTTTGGCTGATAAAGGTAAATGGACTGGATCCCATCCCTGGCAGCATGATGCTCAGGAGGGCAGCACAGCAGCTCCAGCACCCCACACTGCAAACAAAGGTGGAAGGTGACCCATACTTATACTGGGGCCAGCAGACAGGGTCCCACCGAGCAGACAGAGCTTGTCCAAAACCCAGACACTTCACTGCTGTCTTGCAGCGCCTGCGCCGGGGCAGAGCCCCCGTCTTGGTGACCCGTTCTCCTTCCTGCAGGTAACACCATCTCCTTCCTGCAGGTAACACCATATTTTCTGCAGCCAGGGGAGCAGTGACCTCTCTGGTCTCCTCCAGCGTTGCAGAGGCCCTCGGTAGAGGCTGGACCATAGCAAACGCCACATGAAGCCAGCATTTGCATGCAGGCAAAGGCAACCTGCCCATGAAAGATAACCCAGACGTAGCCACCGCGTTTCCAAACTGCCAAATAGAACATTAAAAGTTACTACCTCACTCCAGGCAGAGTCTAAGGTGAGCCTCCGCTGCCCATCAGCTGGCGAGGATGCAACCTGGTCTTAGATGACTTTGGTCCACCAAACTCCTCCTGGGTGACTCACTGCCATGGACAGGTGGCTTCTAACCCATCACTCCCAGTAATGCCACAGTTGTCAGGAATTGGAACACCAGAACTGTGTCTGTGTATATAGATATCTATTTTAAAACAAAGGATAGACTTTATTCAGTATGCTAAAGGGGGGGGGGCCCCCCCAAGGGAGAGAACAGAGGTTTTTTTAAGAGAACTACAGAAAAAGTGCATACACTGTGGAGGTTTCGATGGCTGTGCTGAGGATGTGGCTTCGGAATAGAAACTCTAAGAATGTAGCTGGGCTACATTTTATTTTGAAAGTGATTTCACACACACACAAAAAAAAAAACCCTTGAATTTATTTTCCTTTTTGAAACTGTGAATAGCTGCCAGAGACACAGGCAGGCCCAGCACCGGGGGACGGGAGGGCCAGGAGGACCAGGGGAGCGGAGAACGTTGAGCTTGGCTGGAGGTGGGGAAGGGGCCATGGAGCGATAGCCCCATGCTGTTGCAAGGACAGGATACGGGGGAGCTGACAGTGCGGGTTGCCTCCAGGTGATGTGACTGGGCCGTGTGCTGGGGCTATTGCTTTATTATTTAATTTTTTCCAAAGCAAAAAAAAAAAAGAAAAAAAAATAGGCAAAAGTAGTTGCTACAACCAATGTAAAGGAACAACAGTTCCAGGGCAGAAGCTTGAGGGTTTGTAGTGTTGCCTTGAACCCCGAGCCCTTTGTAACATGTTTTTAAACTTTGGCACGTGTTGTGGGTGTAGTGCCCTTACCTGCTGTGTAGTGGAAGTGGCAGACTCTTGGAAAAGCCTATCTTTGTAATAAAACAAGGTGCTGAAACCTGCCTGGTGATGTTCCTCCCCCTGAACATGCAGAGGATATACAACACTGGGGGAGACAACTGCAGGGGGGTGTGCAGTGATCTTTCCATCTCCAGGACGTACCACACAAACCGATAACCAGCCTGCTTCCACGCGAGGTAGGGTTCAGCCCCTCTGCCCTGCAGAGCACATTGCAGCTCCTGCTGCCCAGTGCCTCAGCTCCCACCAGGACACAGGGAGAGCCATGTAAGGACACAACCAGCACCTGAACTTACACAGTCGATGACCACGCACACAGAGCCCAGTAACACCACAGCACTGCCCATGACCACACGCACAGAGCCCAGTAACACCGCAGCAGTGCACATGACCACACACACAGAGCCCAGTAACACCGCAGCAGTGCCCATGACCACACACCCAGAGCCCAGTAACACCGCAGCAGTGCCCATGACCACGCACACAGAGCCCAGTAACACCGCAGCAGTGCCCATGACCACGCACACAGAGCCCAGTAACACCGCAGCAGTGCCCATGACCACGCACACAGAGCCCAGTAACACCGCAGCAGTGCCCATGACCACGCACACAGAGCCCAGTAACACCGCAGCAGTGCCCATGACCACGCACACAGAGCCCAGTAACACCGCAGCAGTGCCCATGACCACGCACACAGAGCCCAGTAACACCGCAGCAGTGCCCATGACCACGCACACAGAGCCCAGTAACACCGCAGCAGTGCCCATGACCACGCACACAGAGCCCAGTAACACCGCAGCAGTGCCCATGACCACGCACACAGAGCCCAGTAACACCGCAGCAGTGCCCATGACCACGCACACAGAGCCCAGTAACACCGCAGCAGTGCCCATGACCACGCACACAGAGCCCAGTAACACCGCAGCAGTGCCCATGACCACGCACACAGAGCCCAGTAACACCGCAGCAGTGCCCATGACCACGCACACAGAGCCCAGTAACACCGCAGCAGTGCCCATGACCACGCACACAGAGCCCAGTAACACCGCAGCAGGCTGACCACGCACACAGAGCCCAGTCACCGCAGCAGTGCCCATGACCACGCACACAGAGCCCAGTAACACCGCAGCAGCCCAGTAACACCAGCATGCCCATGACCACGCACACAGAGCCCAGTAACACCGCAGCAGTGCCCATGACCACGCACACAGAGCCCAGTAACACCGCAGCAGTGCCCATGACCACGCACACAGAGCCCAGTAACACCGCAGCAGTGCCCATGACCACGCACACAGAGCCCAGTAACACCGCAGCAGTGCCCATGACCACGCACACAGAGCCCAGTAACACCGCAGCAGTGCCCATGACCACGCACACAGAGCCCAGTAACACCACAGCAGTGCCCATGACCACGCACACAGAGCCCAGTAACACCGCAGCCCCCGGGAGCCCAGGTGTCTGTTCTGCACCACCACCACCCCTCAAAGCTTCTGGTTTCAGCACCGTGACACCACCCCATAGGTCCTAATAACTGTGGTGTTTCCAAATCCTCTCTTTTCCACCTCCCCCAGTAAAAGCTGCTCTTTCCAGACACCAGAGGGATTTTCCTTTCCCACTAGAAAGTTGATTCTCGAAGCTAAAGCTGCAGCTAAATCCAGCCATTAAACGGTTTCACCTCTGCCAAAGCAAGCACCTCGTGTTTCACACCGAGCACACAGCTCCCTTATGGGACGTTTCCATGCAGGGAGCAGTGCCTGGCGAGGCTGACCCACACCGGAGGGCCAGGGGGGCTCTGCTCCATTACTGCTGCAGCATCTTCCCCCCTGCCCTGGGCACGACGAGAGTTTCAGCTCCATTAAAGACGGATCAGCGCTGCCAAGGCTGAAGTTTAAAGAGAAGTTAGTTTGCTCAGCTCTTGCTTAAGCCTCAGAGCAAGGCCAGGAGCCTTGGAGGGCATTGGCAAGGCCAGCTGAAGATTAGCAAAATCCTCTTTAGGAAGAGAGTTTTACTTCCACTGATTTACTCCTGCCCAGGAGGACTATAACCCTTTCCATTATCAGGCTGACCTTCAGAAAGGCTCTGCTCCACACAGAGCAAGAGAAATTCGGGTACTTGAAGCTATTAAATGAAAATGCTCCTACGTTGATCTTCAGGAGCCAGTAAGACAGGTTTAGAGGTGGGAGCTGTGCCACAGATCGGTAACAAGAGCACAAGCAACACTGCAGTCCTCAGCAGACATTCCAAACTCCTATTTTGAGCCCTAAAACACCCTTACCTTCCTCATACCATGGTGAGAGCCCCAGCAGTTGCCCTCACACTGGGGACCCTTGCCCATGGCATGTACCCGGACCTGCTGCACTCCTGTAATCCCAGCTCAGCCAGGCATTAACACAAGGGCAGGCAGGAGGGCAGAGGGCCGGGCACCCACCATGGCCATAGCTGAGCTCCACAGTGTCCCAGGTGCCAGTGTGCTGTGTCCTGTGGGTCCCCACATGGGCTGTTACCCACCCTGGGGCTCACCACCAGCCTGCACCACACACACAGCACCCAGCATTCCCTGGCACTGCAGGCCAGAGCAGGGGACATGGGGACACCTGGGCACCTCTCCAATAGAGCAGGCAGCACAGTGCCATGTGGGATGAGGCCAGGAGATGGGAGTGCAGCAGCAGAATCCCATGAGTGGGGCAGCAGTCACACTATGATGGGAATGAAGCAACTTTATTAACAGGACATTAACAGAGAGTTAAAACCTATCCTGGGAATAAACCCAACACAGACCCCAAGGGCCTGAGCCCAGCTGGGTTCCTATGGAAGAGGGGCTGTCCAGGACACACTATGGGGCCTTCTTGCCCTCTGGGAGAGTCACTGCCTTCTTCAGGCTGGCCTGCCCCTGGCCTGCTCCCGTCTTCACCCGGGGCTTCCTCACCTTGCCTTCAGCCCCCTTCACCTTGGTCCCTTCTGGCTGGGCTCCCTCGGGAGCTCCTGCTTGGGACCCATCGGGCGCTCTTGGCTGGGCTCCATTGGGCACCTTCCTCTTGCTCTTTCCCACTGGGGTTTTCCGTGGCCGCTTTGCCTTGGCGCCCGCAGCGCTGACACCGCTGTCCCCTCCTGCCTCCTCAGCACCTGGAGCCGTGGAGGGCCCTGAACGCCCCTTGCCAGAGCCCTGGGGGCGGCCGACAGCTCGCGGGGGCTTCGCTCCATCACTCCTGGACTTGGCTGCTGCCGGTGGGGGGTTCTGGGGAGGGAGAGAGCACCTCCAGCTACTGCCACCAGCCCCCCCCCCACACCCCCACGCCCACCATGCTCACCTTCGTGGCCTTCGTCTTCGACTTCTGCTTCGCCGCTGTCAGCTTTTCCTCCACGGCCCCTGCAGGATGGGCAGAGGATGAGCCCAGGCAGGAGCCCCTCCTGGGGCTGGGGCACCCCAGGGCCTTGTGGCACCACTGACCCTTTACCTTGCTGCAGCACATCTGCCATGAGCGCCTGGTCAGGCTGGGCTGGCTTCGAGGGTTCTCCTCTGTCAGGATCTGCCTGGCCTGGCAGCTTCTTCTGCTTGAGCATCTTGGGGGCTAACTGGGGGTGAGAGAGGGGTGGAAGTAGGGCTGGTGTCCACCGCGGCCCTACTGCAGTGGGGCCAGCATCCCCTGCTGACCATGAAGGTGCCAGCTCCACTGCAGTGGGGCCAGCATCCCCCTGCTCACCATGAAGGCCCCAGCCCCACTGCAGTGGCACCAGCATCTCCCAGCTCACCATGAAAGCCCCAGCCCCACTGCAGTGGCACCAGCATCTCCCAGCTCACCATGAAAGCCCCAGCCCCACTGCAGTGGCACCAGCATCTCCCAGCTCACCATGAAAGCCCCAGCCCCACTGCAGTGGCACCAGCATCTCCCAGCTCACCATGAAAGCCCCAGCCCCACTGCAGTGGCACCAGCATCCCCCTGCTCACCATGAAAGCCCCAGCCCCACTGCAGTGGCACCAGCATTCCCCTGCTCACCATGAAAGCCCCAGCCCCACTGCAGTGGCACCAGCATCCCCCTGCTCACCATGAAGGCCCCAGCCCCACTGCAGTGGGGCCAGCATCCCCCTGCTCACCATAAAGGTTCCAGCAGCTCCTGTGGCAGTGGATTTACGGGGCCGCACCAGGTCCCCACTGCTCAGCCCCTTGCTCAGCGTCACCTTCACCCAGTACTTGAGGCGGGTGGGATCCACAGTGGGGTACTTGGCCAGGATGAACCTCGTGATGGCTGGAACAGAGGCCCCCTTGTTGCTGTCCTTGGCCTGCAGCGCCTCGATGACCATCTGCATGGTTGAGGGGTGCGGAGCCCTCCGGCGCTGGGCCACTAAACCTGGGTGCTGGGCTGTGCCAGCAGCTTTGTCTGCAGGGAGAGAGACACCTCATGGGACCTGGACCCCGAGGGTGGCAAAGCCGCCCAGGAGCTGACTCACAGCCACCAGAGCCTGAGCAGAGCCCCAGTCCCACCAGGACCCCGCAGCAGCCTGAAAATCCCTTACCCAGCTGATGCTCCATGGCAGCACACACCAGCACCCAGACCCTGTTGTCAGGCAGCTCCACTGACACCTCTACCCTTACTCAGCCCCGTTCACTCCCAGCTAATTTATCAGAGCAGCACCCTGCCTGCAGGTGCTGTTAATGAGCTGCTAATTACGGTGGGAAGCAGGTGGCTGAGAATCCTCTGCAAGGGGCCAAGGGGAGCAGGGCCCTGTCTGAGAAGAGGGTTTGGGGAAAGGCAGGAGATGGAGGGACATGGGGTGATGACCCTGAGCATACAGGGTAAAGGGGTCTACATGCTGCTTGGAGGGTGGTGAGGAGCTGGGATTGGAGCTTGCTGATGGCACTCGCTGTGGGGTGAATGGGGAGGCAGCCGGGGCCCATGCAGGACCCGTTCCCAGTGTGCTGCTGGGATGTGCTGGCTCCCTTCACCTGAAGAAGCAGGGTGATGCACTGCCAGGGAGCCTGAGAACAGGGGAGGGGGGAAACGGTCCCACAGATGAGAGGAGGAAAACAGCGAGTTGCTTTGCTGGACAGTGAATGCAGGAGCAACGCCCGCACAGAGCTCCAGGGGTGCACTCCCCACTAGCACCTCACTTGCCTTTGGCTGCCAAATCCCACTGTGCTTGGGGGAGAGCACTCCCAGCCCCACAGAGGGGCAGCCCCTCCGTGTCCCTCCATGCTCCCTCCATGCGGGCTCCTGGCACAGCAGCCACCCGCAGCCACAGACAACATGGGCCAGGTATGAGCTGAGCCCCTGGCTGTTCAGGGTCCCCAAGGCACCCAGGGCACTTCTGTGTCATGGCAACATTCAAAAGAAGTCATCCTGTGATCCCATGGACACTTTCCCGGCTGGATACTTGTGGTGCTCTCAGGGTGAGCCTGAGTAATTCACTGATTGCACTTTGGTGCAGGAACAGTGCCCATGTCCCCATTGGGGACCGCTGTGGTCCTACACAGCGCCGCGTCAGTCCCTTCTTTATGGAAGAGGCACGGGGCTTCCATCCTCACCATGGGGGAGAGCTGCAAGCTGGGATTAGATGACACTGGCCGGGTCACGGCCCGCCTGGTGGACGTGTTACTGTGCAACTGTACGTGCAAAGCGCTGCCCAGAAGGACCTTTGCCAAGGTCTGCACCCACCTGCTGAGCCCAGCGACCAGATCCTGGCAGGGGACCGAGGTGCCAGCAGGAGCAAGGAGCTGGGAGAGGCACCCAGGGCCCAGCTCCACCAGCACGTTCACTGCTCCATTTCCAGTCCATTTCCAATTTCCCAGGAAGGGGCCAGCGGGGACACAGGAGGGCTGCAGGGGCTGGCGCCATGCGGGGTTGGGAGCATCCCCAACCATCTCCTCCTCCTGCATCTGGCCATCACCTCTCTGGCAGCTCCATGATGTTTCCAGCACCGGCTTGGGCTGGCAGGGGGATTCCAAACCCTTGCTTGTCCCTACCAGCAGCAGCAGCAGCCGTAGGGCTGGGCATGGTGTGGTGCGATAACCCACAGGCCTGGAGCCAGGCCATGTGCTGGGTCTGGTTCTGTGACAGTGAGAAAGCCAAGGTGCCAGCCTTGCCTCATGGACAGCAAATAAACACCCAGTCCTTCCTCCTCTTCCCTCCAAAACCAGCTCCCAGATTTGAGGTACATGAATCAGGCATCAGCCTAAACACTGAATTATTCATAAACCTCTAATCTTTAGATTTCACTGAATATGCAGAAGTATTGATAAAAAAAAAATAATGAGAGAATTGTACTTGCAAATTGCTCTTTATTAAAGGTTTAACTTGCATGGGCTCTATATGTTCCGTATTAGACCTTGCAAAGCTGCATAGGATTAGAAATCAGAGAGGATAATAATGTACAAAAATAGTTTCAAATGTTGATAACACTGAACAGCGAGAAAAACATCTTATTTGTATAACTGAGCTAAAAATAAAAACGAAGAACACTGCTACAATTGCCGAATGCCATCTTGTAGTGCTCAAAACATATGTCGACATCTCTGAGCCATATGCTCCCATGTCTTGCTGCTACAGCGCGGAGGGAAGCTTAGCGACGCGCCCGTGGATCCTCAAAAGCACAAGCACTGCCCAAAACCTCCTACTTGGGCTGGTGCCAACCTGAGCGTGGCGCGGGGCAGGGTGGGACCAGGGGAGGGCTCTGCTGGGGACACCCAGCCGGGATGTGCCGAGGGTGCCGGCACCGGGCGCGTGTGGATGCGTGGGGCGCCTGCAGGGGCAAGCACAGCGCCCTCCCGGGCGCATCTGGCTGCAGACACACGGGGCTGTGCCCTGCTGTGCTGTGTTGTGCTGTACTGTGCCGGCAGGACCCCTCCGTGCTGCCCGCTCGCTGGGCAGGATCCGCAGCCATCACCTCTGCGGCATGGAGGGGCCTGACTGCACCGCACCGTGCCCTGTCCCTGCTGCGGGGTGACCGAGCCTCGCAGGGCTCCTGCCATGCCGGAGGTGGGGCAGAGCTGGAGCGGGGAGCACCGGGCAGGGCTGGCGGCACCTCGCAGCAGCCGAACCTGCCGCGGGCAGCACCGGCCGGGCCGTCAGGGTGGGAGCGGGGAGGGGAGTGCGGCTCGGGCCGTGCACCGCAGGCGTCGGAGCCGGGGTTTGCCCTCGGAGCAGGGCGCGAGCGCTCAGCGAGTGAACAGAAAGGCGGATTTACGGCAGCGGAGCTAAAGCCTTTGCATTTTAATTACAAAACGTGTGTACACATTTCCAGCCTTGTGCCCAGGGTTCCTAGTGCAGGAGAGAGGAGCCCACCCGCAGGGCCCGCAGCGGTGCAGCGGGGACGGGCGGTGGCAGGGACAGGTTCGTGCTCCCGAGGCGGTGACGCGCACCCCGAGGACCGGCCGCGCTGCGGAGCCTACGCGGGGGAGACCTGGCTGGTGGAGACGGAGGAGGTCTCTGTCTTGCCCGCAGATGTGTCCTCGTCGCCCAGCGGGTTCTTGCCGCAGCAGAGGGTTGTGATCATGCAGTTACGGAACTGGAAGAGAGGGAAGCCTGGGGTGAGGCAGGCGGGCCCCGCGAAGCTGCCCCCGAGCCCAGTATGGAAGCCCCGACCCTGGTGGAGTGTCCTTCCCCGCTGCCTGCCCTGCCTGCTGCTCCAGGCCAGCCGGCACACAGCCCCAGCTGCTCCAGTGACACAGTGCCTGGCTCATCTCAGCTGGAAGGGGCCATGAGATGCGTGCAACACTGGGCTGCCCAGTTCCCCTCCAGCATGCTGGAATAAGATCACCTGGAAATAACCCCCCTTCCTGGCCCACTGGCACCTCAAGGTGCCGAAACTCACTGCAAGCAATGAGACACAAGAAGGGAGGTTGCCTGGCTCCTGGCCGGTTACCTGTTTGTTCATGACGATGTAAATCACAGGGTTGTAGATGGCGGAGCTCTTGGCAAAGAAAGCCGGGATGGTCATGAAGATGGGCCCAAAGTCTGACCCCTGGTTGGTGAAGATGTAGAAAGCGACGCTGGCGTAGGGGACCCAGCATATCAGGAAGGCGACGACCATGATGATGACCATGCGGGTCACTTCCTTCTCTGCCTTCTGGGTGGTGGCAGACTCCTGCTGCTGGGCAGCAGCCTGTGGGCAGGAGGAAAGGAAAACACGGTGAAGCTGGGGGATGCTGCGCCAGCACAGGATATGGGGTCAGGGCTTGGGGTGGTTGAGCATCTGATGCTTCCCACTTTGTGGACAGCTAGTCTGACACCAAGGGTCCTTTCTGTCACCAGCCTGGCGCCTGGCGTGGGCCCCCTCCCAGCACTCGGCACAGGGTGGCCCTGAACCCCCACCACTGGCAGGTACCCACCTCCTTGACGGTGCAAACCAGGTTCCCGTAGCAGAAGAAAATGACCATCAGTGGGATCATGAAGTGAACCACAAACATGTAGATAACGAAAGATTCGTTGTTGATCTCTGGCTTCAGGGTGTAATAGTCAATCCCGCACGAGCACTGCATGCCCTCGGGGATGTACCTGCGAGGAGAGCGGGGCAGGTCAGCACCCAGAGGAGCGTGGCCGAGCCGGCACCAGGCTCCCGCAGCCCCGGCCCTGCTGCCCGTACCTGGACCAGCCGAACAGCGGGGGAGCGGCGCACGCCAGTGCCATGATCCAGGTGAAGGCAACACCCATGATGGCGTGGTTCTCCCCGAAGCGGAAGTTGCTCATGGGCTTGCAGACCACCACGTATCTTTCGATGGCCAGGACAACCAGCGACCAGAGAGCGATTTCACCTGTGCCAGGGAGAGAGGGACAGGGACACGGGGGCTTGGAGCAGCAGCAGGAACACTGATGGCAGCACCAGGCCCCCTCGGGCTGTTGTTCCCAAGGAAGACTCCTGGCAGCAGGTAAACGTCCACCAATGGCTGGGAAAGAGGAATGAACTGAGGGCAAGCGCAGATGCAGCAGGAAGGCATGAGAAGACACCTCCTTACTGCACCGCTTAACCACAGTAACCACTTTGCTGTGGTATTTTGTGGCTGGATGCTACCACACATCCCAGACAGCACTTGCAAGCCTACAGTCCCACTCTGAGATACAGCAAGTGCCCATCATCCCAGGATTTTCCCTCGCTGCACACAGCTTCCCAGGAAACTTGTGCCCCAAGGACCAAACCAGAACCACTTCAGGCTATGGCTGAAGCCAGAGCTGAATGGAGAACATTTTTAGACACAGTTTTTATTTAACATCTGCTTCATTCCGGGCCCTGCTGGCACGGGGGGGAAAGGCAGCTTTGCCAGCCTGCACCACCATGCATGGCAGCAGAGCCCATGGCAGACACTAGCTCCACAAAACAGGAAGAGCAAATCTGTCACCTCTCAAGTCAGAAAGCAAGCCAGAGAGATGTGCAAACCCAGCAACTGCTGAATCTGCTGCTGGTTGGTTGCTTTCCATTGCTGAGCTGTTGTTCTCTGGGTACTGAGCAGCTGCCTACCAAAATATGGCAACAAAAATGTGCCATTTGTCACTTTCTTCACCTCCCACCCCGAATCCTGAGAACATCTGGGTACCTTCCCTCCCCCTCTTAAGATCCAGGGCCATTTCTAGCAGGAGACGTTTTGGTATCTGGGAAACTTACCACCCAGCGTGGCAAAGAAGCCTTCGATGTAGCACCCCGTTACTCCAAAGACAAAGTACCCATTCATCGAAGTGTACATGGTGGTCGTGAAGCCACCAAAGACCATGAAGAGGTCAGCGACTGCCAGGTTCAGAAGGATGTAGTTTAGAGGTGTCCGGAGCTTCTTGTGCTGGATGGTGACGTACAGCGTGAGGAAGTTGATAGGGAAGCCAAGCAGGATGAGCATGAACATGTAGGCAGCCAGCGCCGAGTACTTCCAGGGCTCAGCCAGGTAGTACTGGGGGTATTCGAAGGGGCTCCGCACCACCCCTGTCTTGTTGGACATAGGCACATAGAAGTCTTGGCCTTCGGTCCCGTTCATGGTTGCGGCTCGGGGGGCGCCTCGTGCTCTTCCTCAGGGGTTCTGTGCTGCGCGGGGGGTTCACCTCTCGAGTGGGGCTCCCGCCACCTCTCAGCCTTCGCTGGCACCCCGGGGAGAAGCGGCAGCGCTCACCCCTGCGGGCACCTCTTATAAAGTGCCCCCTGGGGTAAGCTGCGGGCGCCGGAGTCAGCGCGATTGGGGCTTACAGAATTATTAATCATAATCATGCGGGTAATTGGCTTTTCTGGGAGGGTATTAAGGGGACACCTGTCTCCAGCCTGCACTGCCGTTGTTGGGGACCACGGTTCATGGGTGTATACAGGGGTAGCTCTGCACCACAGCTTTCATTTGGGGGGAGCCAAACCAGGCGGCAGCTCCACTCGCAGAGCCCCACTCCTCAGCATGGCTGTGCTCCCATGGGAGCAAGGGTTTGCGGTGGGCCCGGCCCCCATGGGAGTCCTTGCACCCCATGATCCAGAGCTGGACATCCACAGCTCAATGCTGCCATTGCCTAGGGGGACATGCACCACCCTCACCCCCAAGGCCTTCAGCCCACCCTCCACTGGCACTCGTGTGCACTGCCCATCCATATGAAATGCCTCAGTTTCCCCACAGGGAGGTGCTGGGAATGGGATGCATCACCATCAGGTTGCCAGGGGATGCCAAGGCAAATGTGAATCCTTATCTTGGCTCCTGGGCTGAGCTTTCAGGTCTCTCCAACAAGCAGAAGCTTCCTTTCCATCCCCCACTAACAGGAGGGAAGTTTGAGGTTCAAAACCCCACAGCTGTGGGTTTGGAGGTTGCAGATGGTGGCTGGGCAGGGCAGGGCAGGGCAGGGGAGAGTGTTGTGGTGGGCTCCATCAGTGACAGAGGGGTGTCCCAGGCCCCTTCTTACAAGAGAAGTGGGTCAGGGACTCTCCAGAGTCCCCATGGAAAACCATCCCCCCACAACTGCCATTCCTGCAGCTCTCAGGCAGCATGAGCATCACCAACCCTGCTTCCATGTGCTCGCAGCCACATCTTTTTCTGCTGCAGGATTTGGCTGGGGAGGTTGGAACACCAGAGTGAAGCACTGACCCCACCGGCAGGTTTCCAGTGGTACCAACCTTCTGAGGCTGGCTTTGCACGTGGCTTGGGTCCTGACACTCACTTTGGTAACAACAGGCATCATTCTGCACCGGTGCTGAAACAGCTACTGGACAAGGGCACTGAAGGGAGGTTTTGGGCTGAAGCCACACTCAACTTCATTTGCCCCTTGACAAAAATCTTTGGTCTTTGCAGAACCTTGCAGGATCACCAAATCCCACAGGGAAGCAGTCATCAGAGCATCCCATGTCCTCCACGTCTCTGCCTCACCACTCAATGCACTTGACTGTGCTTGAGACGTTCTTTGCGCCAACCACTGATTGAGTCCCACGTTATCTTCTCTTTGTGTTTCAGAGGCAGCAGGGCTGGGGAGGGACCCTTCATTAGGGACTGTAGTGATAGGACAAGGGGTAATGGGTTCAAACTGAAACAGGGGAAGTATAGATTGGATATAAGGAGGAATTTTTTTCCTATTAGGGTGCTGAGGCACTGGAATGGGTTGCCCAGGGAGGTTGTGAATGCTTCATCCCTGGCAGTGTTCAAGGCCAGGTTGGACGAGGCCTTGGGTGAGACGGTTTAGTGCGAAGTGTCCCTGCCCATGGCAGGGGGGTTGGAACTGGATGATCTTAAGGTCCTTTCCAACCCGAACTATTCTATGGTTCTATGTACAGCAGGAACACAGTGAAGCTGACCAGAGGCTGTGAGTGCTGCATCCAGCACGGGAGGATGTGTCGGGGCTGCTGGAGCTCACAGGCACAAGGTGGGCAGAGCTCGTGTCCTCTTGGCCTGAACAGATTTCCTTCAGTCCTGGCCTAGTTTTACCATGTTCCCTGTGGGTTAGGTTAACCTTTGGGTTAAACATGCAGAAGGTTTAAAGGAACAAAGCACAAAGCACTGTGCTCTCTTTAAGGAAGAAACCAAGCTGTAAACCTTCACTCCAAGTGGGGAAGGTCTGAAGGGCTGAAGTGCTGGCCCTGTGGACAACAGAAGACCTGGCCGGCTGCAGCCAAGGCAGGCCACGATCACTCTGGGCAGTCCCAAAGGTCTTTCCTTTATGTTACATGAAAACACCCCCCACTCGTCCTCTCAATTAACTTTTCACACTTGTTGCCAAGGCCAGGGAGTGCCAGCAGGGAACTGCAAGTGCAGCTGTTTGCACCCCACCTTGGCCTACAAGAAGGATTAAAGTTTTATCTTCCAGTGCACAAATGTGCTACCTTAAGCTCTGATGCAATAAGCCACTGCCGAGGTCAGCAGCTGCCACTGAGTGCTTAGTGCTGTGCGTCACTGAGGAGCGGAGGGACAGTGAAGAGCAATGGCCCTGGTGGGATTTCTTGCACATCCAGGGACTTGTTACCATGGGGCAGCTGAGAGCCGGAGCGGCCCAGGGCAGCGTGGAGCTGGATACACCTTCCTGACATGAGATGTGCCAAGGGTGGCTGTGTCTGGAAAAGACCTGCACCATACTCACAGAGTTGTTTAAAGGACAGAAAGAACCTTCCTCGCTCCATCAGCTTTGTCTCGGTGTCACAACAAACCCTCTCTATTTATTTGTGTAATTCTTCCTTCCCACTACTGTGCAAAGCCAGCTCAGTCAGTGCTGGGGAACGAGCGAATTCCTCTCTGGCTCCCGTCTCCAACAGCATTGTTTATCCATGGCAATAGCAAAGTCTTCACTGCAAACAGTGACAGATGAGTCAGAAAGCAGGCGAGCCCTAATTAGAACAGAACGTTTTGAAGTGGTAAATTAAGCAAACTTGGTCAGGAACGCCCAGGGAACTGGGAATCCTGCAGTGCCACGGCAGGGTGGCACGTTCAGGAGGAACTCAAGCAGCCGCAACCACACCACCAGTCTCACATGCAGAGCCCTGTCCCTGTGTAGCTGCTTCACCAGCACCCACCCACCTCAGCCAGCAGCTCCAGAGAGAGAGGCAGGATCCAAAGGGAAGCTGCAACAGGCAGGATGTTGAAACAACACCACAAGTCATGGTGACACAGGCACAACAGATACTGGATTAAAGTCAAGAGACCTGTCGCTCCCCTGCTCCCATCCAGCCAAGGCAGTTCCTACTGCAGAACTGCTCAGTGGCAGCCCCTCAGGTTTGTGCCTGAGCCAGCGCTGACAAACACCAGTGCTGTGCCTACAGCTGAGACCAGAGCTTGCCTTCTTCCCCACCGTCCCCCAAGCAACAGGCCAGAGCCAGGCAAGCAGCAGGGAGGGGATGGAGCTGGGACAGCTCAGGGAAAGGAGGAGGAAGGAGGATGTTGCGTTTGTGGTGTTTGCCTTCCCAAGTAACCGTTACTCATGCTGAGGCTCTGCTCTCCAGGAAGCAGGCTGGACATCTGCCTGCCACTGGGAAGCAGTCAAGAAATTCCTTACTGCTTTGCTTGCATGCACAGCTTTGCTTCACTTAAACTGTCTCTATCTCAACCCGTGAGCTTCTTTGCTTTTGCTCTTGTTATTTTCCCCCTAGTCCTGCAGGGAGGTGGGGGGGACTGAGCAAACTGCTGCTGCCAGGACTGACCCTGACCCACCACACTTGGTCAAGGGGCTGCAGCATTAAATCCTCCGTGGGGCTGCGAGAGGGCCCCCAGTGCCAAGTCAGCGTAACTCTTAAGGTCACATTTTAAGAGCTCTAAACTCTACAACTGTCCTTGCCTAAATGGAATAGAAAGGAAAAAACCCCGTTCACACCCACAAGCCGTAGCGTTACAGCACATTCCCAGACCGAAACTAGTGAAAAACAGTCCTGTTTATTTGGAGATCTGTCCATAACAGGTACAGAGTAAGGAGCAAATCCAGTCCTAACACAAACTGGAATCAAAATAACAATTACTTCAAGACTGAACTTGACCCTAAAACATTCTGGTAAAACTCTGTGGCACTTCAGCTGCTCTGGGAAATGGAGAGGACATTCACAAACAACAGACCTCAACATTTAAAAAAGTTACATTTCTTCAACTTGTTTCCACTCTGGTGGACAAACTGGAACAACAACTTAACAAAGTTGTCAGGAAGGCTCTGTGAGGCTCAGGGGTGTTCTGCCAAGCCAAGAGGGCAGTCTGTCTGCTGAGGTATGAGACTGGTTTTCTTCATTGGTTTGACTCATCTATTCTCCGTCTACAGAAGGGACAACAGTTATGCTGGAGTACGAGCAGCTCATAGTCTTCTGTGTGAAACATCTGTTAATGAGGAGCAGATTTAGGGACAAGTTAGCCTGGGACTTGCTTAAAGAAAATGCAAAGCAAGTTCAGTGGCTTCTTTATGGCACCAACATTCTGAAGCTACCCTACAAGAGAATTGGTCTTCTTGCTTCCAACTGCTTGAGCGTGCCATGACCTGGAACAGAGCAGCAGGCACTTCACAGGGCACTGCCAATGCTGCTCAAGAGCACAAACCCGTTCATTACTTTTGCTGAAGAAAGGAAAAAATTAGGTTCTGCGTAAGCAAACGTGACTGAATTCCAGCGTTTCATAAAGCCATTCCTGAGAGGGCAAGGAGAGGGACAAAACCACAAGCTAACTTAGTCACTGACTGATTTTCCTTGCTAGAGCAGGCTGAAAGTCAGAGAGACAGAGCAAAGAAAGAACTATAAATCAGCGTTTGTTGTTCAGCCAAGGTTTGCTCGAGAGGCTCTGACTCGCTGTCAGTGCAACTTCTCAGATTCAGCTACCTCAAAGTTTTCAGCTGCTCCTCTGTGCATCACACAGCTTGACTGTTGGTTTTCATTGCCTTCTTTGTCTACATCATTCAGGAGCTTGTTGAATACATTTTAAAGCATGAGGTTTCAATGACTGGAACTGTTTCGGCTGTAGGACTTTGGGGGGTTTTTTAAACCTCTCCACGAAACCGTACCTGAAAGCACGATGGACACATGGTGATGGAGGCGTCAGGCAGCAGGGAGCGGTAGTACTGCCACCGCAGTGGCTTTGGCCAGCGTTTAATGAGGACATCCCTGCGGCTCATGGACCGGAGAACAGCACGATTCACCACCACTGGAACGAATTCTGAGCCGCCTTGCTGCAGGAGAGCAGGTTCAGAAGGAATTACTGTTACCAACTGCAAAGCCCTTTGAGGATTAATAAGCTGTTGCAAGCAGCAAAGTAAAATCCAGTAGAAAAAGCTAATATAGAACTGGCCTGGGTCTAGTCCCACCAGACTCGCTGAGCGTTATCAATACCTTCAGCGACAGCAGCATCCACCCACAGCGAGCTCCCATGATTCATTTTAACACAACTCCTTGTAAATAACACCCATGGCCAGAGCCTTTATTAAAACCTCACAGCAAGGACTGATTTACAGGTACACTGCAGAGACACAGAATACCCTGGAGACAGCCCCGCTGTATCACTGTATGGTGATAAAACACAGTTCCAGGAACATTTAAGATCTTTGTTGGTTTTGTGGGGTTGTTTATTTAAGAGAGCAATTAACTGGTAAATCCCTTTCTGTCTCCAGCACTGTCCCTCTCTTCCCATCCCTGCTTTGTGTCTCTCTCTAACTCATTCACACCAGAAGAGCGGCAGGGACTGTAAGCTATGTTTTCTTATTCATTTCTGTTGGTAGCAGGAAACAAGCAGCTGTAAGACACAGGTACAGCTCTTACCTCAAAGCTCAGTTTTGCTGTAAAGGGGTCATCATCTTCAATATCTGTATTGTCATCAAGCCTCAAGCTCTCTGCATCTGGATGCATTTCTTAAGGACTGTCTTCACAGTAGCCAGCA